TTCATCTCAAGTTGAATCTTCCACCGATGCTTCATCACCATTGTCATCGCAACTTCCGAGGAAAACCTCTTGTTCACTTGCTGAACTCTGGGCTTCAACTTCCCGATTGTCTGTTTTTAGTGATACGTTTTTACGTTTTTTCGGGTTACAGCGTCATTCATCTTCCAGGTATAACCTACGTGAAATTCTCCAAAACCTCTGAAGCAGCCAATGCCCTGGAAGCCATGAATGGTGCCCAGTTAGGGCCGGGATCGCGCCGCATCAAAGTGATGATTGCCTCTAGGTAGGAGGAATCTGCGTGGCTTTGCAGGATTGGTTTAATTGCACTTTATTCTTCAGTCGAGACCAGGGCGCCAAACGGGAAACGAATGAAGAGGAAAAGATGCAGAGGCTGTTTATAGTCTGCCCCAAGTCCATGACTGAGGACGAGCTCTACGCTTACTTTGTCCGTTTTGGAGACGTCGAATACGTCAGCACAATAAAAGACCGACAAACGCGCGAAAGCAAAGGCATTGCCTTCGTCAAATATTACAAGTGAGTGCAAAGCATGCGAATTTGGATTAGTAGTGGAATTGCGATTGGAATTGTGCAGGTTCTCACATGCGGCCCGAGCTTTCGAGGAGTGCGACCGCAAGTACAAGGCGGTGTTTGCCGAGCCCAAACACTCAGAACCGGTGCCCAAGCGAGGCGAAGGCCGAGATTTCTTCGGAGCGCCTTCGCCAAACCTCCTGCCCGGCCCTGCTAGAGGCTCCGGTTTCAACAGCTACCCCCTGAACGGGTCCCCCAACCTTCCAGGACCTTCCGGACTGAATGAGGGCTACAACAAGTTGACGGTCGTCGCTAGCGCCGACTTGAACCAGGATCAGCTTTGGAAGCTGTTCGACATTGTGCCTGGTATTTACCGCCAGACTATCATGGGCCAATAATCCAGAATCTGTGAGTTGTTCCAGGATTGGATTATTGCGAAATCAAGTACCAGGGCGGCCATATGCGGGCTATCGGGGAAGTGGTCTACAAGTCGCCCCAATGGGCGGCCCATGCTCGCGAGAAGTTGCATGGGTTTGAGTACCCGCCGGGATTTCGCCTTATCGTAAAGCCCTTGGTGGACGGATTATCGCCAGCTGATGGCCGGGAGCTGCCGGAGGAGCGCAAGAACCTGCTTCACATTGCGGAGACGATTGCTCAAGCGTCCAGCCTGATCCAGGCCGCAGGCCTCAATCCATGTAAGTTGTATGGATGATTCGCCTGCCTTTATTGAGTTATTCACTGTGTAGCTGCGCTGCTCAATCTCGGCGGTTTGGCTGATTCTGGTCCACAAATCCAGTGCAGTGTCAACTTGCCAGATCCCCGTCCATTGGCGGATATTGATGATGAGTGCGTCGCCAGGTAAGAACTCACAGTTTTCCGACGGCTGCTAAAATCTGGCCAATAGGTGCTTCATCGTCTGCACAACCCCGCTGCCTAACCAGATCCTGAGGGACATTTTCTGCCGGTTCGGCAACCTAATCGAGGCATACATGCTGACCAATCGGAATTGCGGCTACGCCCGCTACACCGATCGGGGTTCTTGCGAGCATGCCATCAAGGTAATCATCAGTCAGCTGCTGGGGGATTTTTGAAAGTGGCGTGTTTTTTGGTTTCAGACTCTCCATGGGGCGGACATTAACGGGGTGCGGATAAAGGTGATGGTGGCAGAGGAGCAGCGGAAGAGGCCCCGAACGGACGACGGACATTCCATCTACTAGACCTGTAAGTGTGGGTTTTTGGGTAATTTGCTCAACAAAATACTGGATCTTGCGGCTCAGCTTCATTCGTCTTGCGGACAAGTTTGGCAAAAATCTCGTCAGTTTAACCGCGCAAAAATGTTGAACTGACGCGAATGAAAAAAACTCTTATATGTTCATCTCTAGTGCAAATGTAGTAGCAGGAAATGAGCTGATCCAGGACATTGTAGAGCAAATTCTTCAAGTACAGGTAATGGGTTTTACTAATGTGCAGATTAACCGCCTAATTGCCCAGATTTTAGCCCAACAGCTCAAGGTTCACCGGTGGTAAACAACCGTCTTTACTTGTTTGTTCTCGAATGAGGCAACTTTTCTACAGGGTTTCACTGCGACTGACTGAAGTTTGTTTTTTTGTTTTGTTGAAGGCACACCAGACGGGACGGACTTATTGACCCCGTACAGATGAGTGACCTACAGACGATGAATTTACCACAAATTACTTTTGACTACGCTACTACCTACTTTTCGTTAATCTGGGGGGTTAAGTAATTGTTTCGTCAGGCCATATTTTAACACGTTTCTTACGAAAAGTTGACATAATTTTTTTATTTTTTTCTAAGCAAAGGCGAATAAATACGTTTTCTCACTGTGCTTGTGAATGTGCTTTTATTATCCCCGTCATTCTTAAGCGAAAACCGTCGTGATTGGCTCTGAAAGGGGGGCGTAGACCCGATGCGTGCCCCGTTTCCACCACTGGGCCTGTTTGGGGTGCGGCGCAATATTTCTCAACGTGTACTGGTAAGGGATGATCGGTTTTGCTTCGTAAGTCAGGCTGTTCAACGGGATTTCTGCCGATAAATGGAAATTTTGCGTCCTCAAAAGGTAAGGTATCATCCCAGTTGCTTACCTTTAAGGTCTTGCGTCCAATAGGGCGCACCTTGGACCAGCATAACTAGACACAAAATCAAGCTTAGAAACTGGTTCATGCTTCGCATGTGGGTTGCCCGAAAGTAATTAAGCTACTAAATTACAAAATACGCCCAGTGCCGGCTACCGATAATGAATCAGCTTATGATAGACTTTCTTCATTATAACCGGCAACGTTTGCTTTCACCGTCGTTTTTCAGATGGCCAAAGGCGATTGAAAGAACTACTGGAAATAATTGTTGGAAAAATAGGCGGTGTTAAGATTTTCGACTCAAATTAATCGTAACTTCTAAACTGGGGCCAGTGCGCACTTGAAGATTTTACTTGCGATAGTGAACGTTTGCATCGTAGAACTGAGAAATTTTCATCGAAATCGCACTGAATATTGATTTTTTGCTGCTGTTTAAACTCGAGTTTAAAAGCAAAACTTTCCAGCCAAAGACGCGCCCTCCGTAAAAAAAATCGTAACTTCTAAACAGGGCCAAGTGCTCACTTGGAAATTTTCCTTGCGATAGCGAACTTTTGCATCCTCGAACTGAGAAAATTTCAAGAAAATCGCACTGATTGTTGATTTTTTGCTGCTGTTTAAGCTCGAGTCTAAAAACAAAACTTTCCAGTCAAAGACGCGCTCTTCGTAAAAAAATCGTAACTTTTAAACAGGGGCAAGTGCGTACTTGAAACTTTTCAC